TTTTAAATATTAGGGTCTTTTTTACACACAGTGAATGACGTATGTACAGGACTAAGCACTATCACACTTGCCCCAGGGAAACACATGAAGGAATTAAGCAGTAATTTCCAAGAGAAGACCCATGCATCAAGTAAATTAGTAATCTGAAATGCAGAAAATGGAGCGTACACAGGCACACGAACAAGACAAGACACAAAAACATATCCTAGATATTTGCAGGAATGAGCTACGAATAAATGACAGTGAAATCTCTTCATGTTGGTTTCTTACCCTCTGCTTTGTGAAGCTCCAGAGCCAGCTGGTTCTTGGCCTCACTCTGCTCACTGAGGCACTCCATGAGCTCCTGGTGCTGACTGACCACTTGGGCGGTTTCCCGGTTGCGGCGGCTGAACTCTTCTTCAAACTGTGTGTGGTTTTCATGCATTTTCTCCAGCTGAAAGGAAACCATTTCCCTAGGATCAGAGCTTGAATGCACATGCAATGTAACAATACTACAAGACATTTAAACAAAGCCCCTCTTACTATTTTACAACATTGATGCAGTGAGGTCCAGGTTTTGAAGTTTCATTACAGCACTAGGTTGACTTTGTCCAAAAGCCCCGGACACTTGGGCAACTCCCTGTACTCACAGGTCTGTGTTTTGCCACGGATCTTCATTAGGCACAGAAGTTTCTGTACTGTGCATAAAGAGATACCTTCCTGTTGGCTAACCTGTTCAGCTTGACAATTCCTGAGCCACTTGAAATTCCAAGCATCCTTGCAATTAATTTCTTGAAGAGATTCAGGGATGTCTAACAGACAGTGCAGTCAGCATCATCAGGTTTCCAAGATAAGGCACCAGTTCTCCGAGACACTGTACCTTGCATTCCCACATGCAGTGTCTCAAGTTCAAAGGAAAGGAACAGAATAGCTCCATTCCCATCTAGCTTATATTTAGCTTAACCTGGTGGGCAGGCTATTTCACAGAGGTAAACAAAATATTCTTGAAGGCAGCTGATGAAGGTGACCTGGAATCTAGATCTGCTACGGCTTGGGCAAGTGCTTTAACCACAAGCTAGCTACATACTAGTGGAACCAGCATCAGTACCCAAAAGTACAAATTTAAGCATCTCATTCTAAAGAGGATTTTTGAAGATGGTGAATATATATTTCACACAGATGTTTATCTCTCAGTTGCACAAAATACCTGATGAGAAGATGAATTTCAGATATATTCTCTCTCTTTATGTTTTCTCTTACGTTAGGGGCTTCCTTCCTCAACAAACTAATCGCTGTAGCAATAAAATAAATCCTCTAAGTGTACACAGTACTCAGGCATCTACCTCAGATTTACAGCCTCCCTTTCCAAAGCTGAATGTCTAGACACTGCAAAACTCGGAATGGAAACTGAAGTTATTTCATGATATTGAGTCCAGCTCCTTTTATCACAATTAAGGAGTATATAATTACAAGGATGCTTGCTTTCTGCTGTCTACATATCCCCAAGACATTTTTACATAGGACCAAGTTTTCTTGAACCTGCTTATTAATGCTGAAGAAGTACTGGTGTGAAGTGCAATAAAAACCGCTTAAACATCTTAACTCTTGGCCTCCTGAAGTTACCAAATATATCTAAAAATCCCAGTTTAAATCTACTTATGGCAACCAACTTATACTCTTTCTACAGTATCTGCTAGAGGGGAAAAAGAGTCACTGAAGTCTCATTTATAATAAATTATCCAATAAGAGCAAAACCTTCATTGTAAGGAGCAGGGGATGCATGTGCTTCCCTATACTGATAGCTTGTTGCATATTCAGACAAAAGTCTGGGTTTTTTAGTAGCCAATTCTACAGGGTGCCAAATACACAAGCCTTAAAACAGGTTTCATACTTGCAGTATAATTATATATCTATGGAGATGAAAGAGATTTACTTGTTTAGTGGATTCTGTAACCAGTTCCAGAAGTCTGTCCACTGCAGTGCGCAAACGATGACAAAGTCTCTGTATCATTTCTTCATTTTCACATGCCAATTCTGGCTTGGCAAAACCACTTTCACAAAAGTATTGGCTCAATTCTGATCCCTCGTCAGCCACTGGAGACAGCGGGTTGTGTTCTGAGAGTGTGACATCGAGCAGCTCATACACTGAAAACAAGCAAGTTATTCAAACACAGAGCAAAATGAGACAGAACTGGCTGCTCAGTTAACACCTGAGCCCAGCCAGCGACACCAGGCAGTGACACTGCTTGATCCTGAAGATGTAGTACAGGGTACAAACTTGTACACATCAATAACTCTATGCTGACAAATCAAGACAGTCTTCATAAGGTTTGGAAATACTGTGCTACACATCTGGGCCTGAAACTCTGCATTCACCAAGTTAATCTTTCCTGCCCTATAACCCATCCAGCCTTTCCCAGCAACATGGTAGTATTTGCCCCACTAAAGGAAATGAAATAAAAAGAATGCTGACAGACACTGTCCTACGTGTGGAGCAACTTTGAAAGAGACAGAAAACACTGCAACAAGAGATATCCCCTTTCTGAACCTCATCCATGTAAAAGGAGATGAAAAGGAGTTTTTCGAGCATGTGAATTGACTTCATCCAATCATGCAGGTTTGTACTCACCTTTTTCCAGATGATGCTTTTCTTTGGCTTTGAAACACTGCATGAATCCCATTTCTTCCATGATACTGTGACCTCTGGAATCTCCAGAAGCCACACTGTCATCAAGGCAAAGACCAACCTTGCTGCAGATAAGGTCCTCAACAGCTATTGTGGCCTTCACCAACTCAACAAGCAATTTCAAAACATGCTGATAAGACTCCTGCAGATTTTTCCTAAAACAAAAGCATATCCAACACTTCAAAAACTGCATGCACTTGATATAAGAGACACTGAACCTACTGTCAGCTTCTCTCTAATCCACACATTCCAAAGACATATCAAAATTAATCTACATTGCACTGAAAGTTTTCAATGACCAAGAGGCTTTCTCCATTTCCTAGCTTTTTCCAAGATCAAAGTCCCCACAAGACCACAAGAAAAAACAAAGGAAGAAAAAAACCAAACCTTGCGTTCCGTATCAAGATAGGTAAGGCATAATCGGTAGTAAGATTGGTAATACAAAAAAAACCTCAAAAAAACCCTTGCAAATGAAGTGATTATATAACCTGAAATGTACAAACCTTTCCTCCTTGGACTGCTCAATATCAGATCTCAACATGGCTACCAAATTCCCTCCTTCTTGGTTTTCCCTGTCCCGCCGCTGAAGGAGCGTCTCCAGTTCAGAGTTGGTCTCCTCTGTTTCACGGTTTAAAGACTCCACTTTCTTTTCCAGCTGGAAAATACAGTAAGGATGCAACAAAGTCAAGCATTTTGCTTAAACAATGAACTTCAGCCAACGATCTGACCCTTCACAACGTTGTATTTGTTCACACAATCATTACCTGCTGTTATGCAAATTTGCTTCCACAAGTACCAGGAAGGGAGGACAGCAGGAAGACTAAAAATGAATGGTTATTTTTTTAGTTCTCCTTTTCTGATGTTGATTCTGCTTCACAGAGCTGCCTCACCAGACTCAGCAGACACAAGAAATGCAAAAAGCTTGTAAAAACTTTTTGTGTCATAAATTAGTTGCTCATAGTTCACTTTCACTGTGACGACTCAAAGACACAAAGCAACGTCCTGGCATAAAATCTGACACTGCAGCACAGCAAACTGATCCAGTATCATCAGGGCTGGCCAACATTTTTTGCTTTAGAAGCAAAACAAATTTTCCCAAAAACAATCTTCTAGAAAAATGTCTTCTCATATGTTCAGGTGACACCTCCATCACACTTTAAAAAACCCAATAAAATAATAAATACACTTATATGTATGATAAAACTACCCTTGATCCCCAGATTTTGTTGCCAAACAAACAAGCACTGTTTTGTTAGAAACTTTGCCTCAAAAGTAAGCCAACTAATTAGTAAAATTTTCTCACCCCTCATCAAATCCTGCATGGAAACAATAATGTATTTCTTCCAGTAGAGAAAATCCTTAGTGTTACTCTGTTTTTCCACTAAACATAAAGGCCTGACAGAACAGGCCAATATAGCAAATTCACATTTTTGTCAGAACTTCCTGAATTTTGAGATAATTTTTTCTTTTATTTATTTCATTTTTTCTTCTATTTTGAAAACTCAAAGCTATTATTTTAGCCATTGAAAAAAACTTGACCCTTCTAAACTTGCTAATTAAACCAGGCACCTTTTTCAAGCTGCCCCTCTCTCTATAATGCTTTCTGGGTAACTTAGATTCAACTTAAGAGATTAGCTTTACAGGAAGAATTAATTTCTGGTTTGTTTGGCAAAATTAGTATGAACTTTGTCATTTTGGGATTCCAACTTCCCTCTTGGCTCTGTTATGTCCTCCCAGGTCAGATGGTCCATAAGCTACTAGAGCACTGTTTGCTTGACAGAAAAACCTGATAGATACAGATGGCAATTAATACACAGGCAACAGAAGGGCAAGCATCCAGCCTTGTCTTATAAAGCACTGTTACCCTCCCTGAGGAAAGGCTGAAAACCAGTTTTCAAGCTGCTGCACAGTCTCAATTTCCATTTTCCTGCAGTAGCACTCCAACTAAAACAGTCCATCATGGGGTACACCTTGAAAACCAGTGATCACAAGAACTATACACAGTCCCTTTTTATACCTATTGAGAAAGGTGAAAGCACTGTGCTAAAACACAACCACAAAAGCACATTTAAAACCTAGGTTTAAAATATTTTCCACACACCTGGATAATTACTGCTGCTTTTTCCTGTAGCTGGGCTAATAACATCTCCTGCTCCTTCTGGTGAGCAGCCTGTGCCTTCTCCCTCTCCTGAATCAGCATCTGCTCCTTATCATGTAGTGATGCCTTCTTTTCAGCTTCAAATTCTTCCTGCAGAAGTCACATATAATTTCATTTACAGAAGAAAAAAAAAAGCTACCAAACTCAAGAAAAAACTAATCACACAACCGAAGCCTTCTCCTTTTTCTTTAAATGTGCATATCTTACCTCTCAGATTAACTAGCAGTAATGTATATACACTTAATACCCCAAATCAACAAAATTATGGCGAAACTATGATTTAAAAATTCATAAGTAGATAAATAAACTATCTAAATGTGCTCACTGAGCTCTGGCTTATTTCAGCCTGCTGAGATGGTGAAGAGGAACAGAAAACAGTCCAGGCAAAGGCAGACAGAAGCTCCTTTCACCAACTGCAAGTAGTACAACATACACAGTACTGAGTTCCACAGATCTGGTAAATCACCACACAACACACTGAGAATCTACAAGGCAAAGGCAGCTCAACATAGGTAAATGATTTAGAAGCTATTTAACTGGATCTCACTAACCTCAGAGTGATCTGAAGTCTCCTAAAGGAATAGATTATTAAACATCCCCCACTCCTGCATCAGCAAATCACAGAGCTGAAAAAAGGTTTTGGGATCCATCAAAGATGCTAAAAGGAACCCTGATTAGCAATTGTTTCTGCAACACCAGAATTGGGAGATGAGTCTTCTTGGTAACAGTATAAAAATACCTGTGCAATTTGATCTATGAACACCCCTTTCCCATGGCATGAAATAATGACTTCAGAAGAGAACATATGTAGTCCCCTGAACTGTCCTGGATCCTTTGTGGAAGACTCAGCCTGCTCTTGCACTGAGCAGACTCAAAGAGCAGAGTGCTGATCAGTCTGCAAGATACAAATGAACATGCACAAAGGGGTACAAGGACTTTCCTTCAGTGGTACAGCAACATTGTGGAACTGTCTCTGAAGTCTCTGAAACAGCCACCTAGTCTTCTCAGAAGTAGGGCATCCATTAAAGAGTAACTCAGGATGTAGAAAGGAACTCTAAATACCTAAAATCTGCTAGGAGAGGCAGGGGAAGAAAAGGAAACTGGCTGGCATGAAGACAATCCCATAAATGAGCATGGGGGAAATAGGGAGGGGAAGGCTCAGTGTAAAAGCCTGTATCAGACCACAACACAGCTCAGCCTGATGTTGCAAAGTTCATGAAAATAAAACCAACCAACAAAACAGAGGCAGCTGTACTAGCAGTAGAATTACCCCTGGCAAAAATTCAGCTGAAAGAAAGGTTTCTGGTGTCCCAAATGATATGCAGTAACTGAAATGTCCAGGCAGCACAAGAGAGAAAAGCAGGAATCCCCACAATGGTCACTCCAGTCCCAGTGTCTGTGGAGTAAAGGCTGGGGTTCAGCTGAGGACAGCAATGCCCAATATACCTCCAGAGGCTTTTCAGGACACACTTATGTCCTCTGTTTCAAAAGATTCTCTGTTTCACCAGATGGAGAGGGGTCAAACAATGACCAGGACTCCACTGTGGGTCAAAGGCAGAAAAGAGGAGAAATTTTCAGGACAACTGCAGCATCCAGTTCTAGAGGTTTGTGCAACTGTTAGTAAGAGTCCCACCTCAGGTTGGAGCACTGAAAGGAATGGAATGGATCTGATGAAATCTCCCAAGGAGAAGTCAGTAAGGATGTAGTACTTAATCCAATCTGAGTTGGTTATGCTCACCAAGTTGAACACAACACATGCTCAATATAGTGATAAGGGTGGTGAATGCAAGCATTGCCCTCAGCATGTCAGTGAGCTGCCCTGATCCTTATAACACAGGATGTGTCTTCTCCAGTCATTGAATAGCTTGGCATGTGCTTCTGAACAGGCAGTTATTACACTGTACACAAGGCCAAACAAAGGTAATTTTCAGGGAGAAATCTCTTGAAGATGCTCATCAAGATGGAAGTTTGGAACTCAAATGATGAACCCAAGAAAGCAGAAATTATGAACAACTACAAAAAGTCTCATGCACTAAGTGCTCAGTCACCACCCCTTGGGGAAAGCTTCAACCACACTCAATGTTTTTTGCCACATATACACGAGTGCAGCAGACAAAGGATGACAGACCAAGGGCACAGCTTCTGCAGACACCAAGAAGAAAATGTTTCAAATCACAAAGTGAACACAAATATGCAAGGACTGTTGTTTAGAGCAAATACTTTCCACTGATTTGGTTTGTTTGAAGGACACAACATCCAGTTCAAGATTTTAAGACAACCTTGTAGTAAATACCATACCTGCTTACAGAGCACTGCCTTATTTCCAATACTGCTTTTTCAGAAAAATACACTTCCAGCTTGCACTGAAGTTCACTGTAATCAGACCCTACCTTCAGCTGTGCAATCTGCTGCTCAAGCAGTACCTCCGACTGACACTTTAGCAGCTCAATCTCCTCCTGGAACTGAAGCTGCTGCTTCAGTTTGACCTCCTCAAATTGAGCCAGAAGAGTTTTGCGCACAGTTTCTACTTCAGAGGCTGATGCAGAAACATACATCTGCAGACAAGCAAGCAATAGAAAACATTTTAGCCCTGGTGTTACAATTAAGGAAAAAACAAACAAACCAAACCGAACTGAAACAAAACCTTCAAGCTTGGTCAAATTCTTAAGAGTATTTTCAATAATAGTCCTTTCAAACCCTCAGGGTCATAAAGCTCTGCTGCCTAACACCTCAATGACTGCAGGAAAAAGCAAGTTGATAAAAATAGGTAAGAAGCAACAAGGCATTAGGTACCAAGTATCTCCTGTATTCATGAGACCGTCAGCTCAGACTAACAACATACTCCCTGCTTGTTACATCCAACAGACATTTGTCAAAGCAAAATTCCAAGAAATAAGGGTTAAAGAGGGGGAGAGAAACATAGAGAAAGCTTTTTTTTTTGAAGATGCAATTTCTCTTGTTCAAATGGGGTGAAACATTGCGTTGCCACATCTCATGCAATTACCCTGAGATTAAACACAAGTCCACCAAAAATATCAGAGAAGGGTTTGAGTTATTTTGTTCATTTGTTATTCCTTTTTTCTATTGTCCTCTTTTAAGAAGAGTTACTGTAGCAATCAGAACAGAGTGAAATCCTTTTTCTATGACAAAAGGCTTAAAAACTTAATAATCAAGACAACTTCACCAAGAACTAACAAAATTAAACTTCCTGGGCAAGCTATTCTTCCAAAAGCTACTTGGAAACCACCGCCAGCTCCAAAACCTGACAGTCCAAAAAACCACAAGGAATCTCATCAAACCTAGATGTCTTTTGTGTGGTGCACCAAGCAATACAATGGGTACAGCAGTGACTAGAGTTACTTGGCACACTATCCAATTTCCAAATTAGTAAGTGAAAAAAGCAATAAATCAGGCTAATACACACATATGAATTCTCTTGAGTCATTTGACGTAAAACAAGGCTTTTAACTTTGTCTCTTAACTCCTGGCACTATTAAAAAAATCCAAGAAGAATCCAGATACACAGCCTGACTTCTAAGGTTAATGAAACTGAAATTACTTTAGGGTAATTATTTTGGGTTTAGGTATCAACAACATTCTAACCTCTTGCTCATGTTCATGCTGGGCTTTTAGCTTCCCCAATTCTTTTTCCAGCTCCCTGGAGTATTCTTCCTTCTGCTTCTTAATTTCTGCCTCATGAAGATCTTGAAGCTCTTGGAGTGCTTTCCTATGCTTTTCCTCCATACACACCACTTCCTCACGTAATATATCCAGGGCCAGACGCTTTTCTTCTTCCAGCAATTTCCTTTGATTTTGAAGAGCTGTGTTCAAATCATCCTGCACAAGCATTGTTTTAAGAAGAGGGAAGGGAAAAAGTAAGTACAAAGATATTTGTAAAGCACACATCCTGCTGTATCAAAGCCTTTTAAGTAAACATGAACAATAATGCCTCGTGAATTATGGGCACACCTGGATATATACACTTTCTATATAATTGAAATGGTTTCTTTTCCTCTCCAGTACAAGTTTTGTAAATGGCAGCACTCCCAATCAGCACAATCTTCAACTTTTTCTTTCTGAAGGTCTTTACACTCAAGGACAATTAAAATGAAGGTTAGCAAAGACAGGACTAGAGAAAAATGTTCACCTTTTGCCCACACCAGACCTTCCTCCTTAGCCTTTGTGGGCACAGAAATGACATAAACGTAATCTTGGGCATGGTAACAGACGAGTCTGAAAAACAGTACATCTCCCTCTGGAAGGCTCTGGAGTTTTAGCAATGAGCTAAGCCTTCTTACCTCTTTGACTTGGAGAGCCTTGGGTAATTTTTTTCCCATCTGAACTGTGAAAGAGCTCACACCTCTGCCTCATGAAGAAGTAAAGCTAAGGACCTCTGTTTAAAAGGAGTAAAACAAGGTCCACTCACTTGCTGTCAAAACCCCACCTGGGACCTTTAGAGATACCTTTCTTCTATTCTTCCTCTCAAGACTGTGCTACTAGGGAGAATCTTTAGGTTCTTAGAGATGCAGTTTAACCTACAGGATTACAGTCATTTTATTCTCATCACTTCTGGAGAATCACATGGTAACTCTACAAGGCAGAGAAACTCTGAGCCAAAAAATAGAAACCATCCAAACTGAATTGTGTTTAAAATATTTGTTTCTTTTGTACCTTTTCCCCACACACTGAGATAGAAAAATCCTTTGCCTGTGCATTCAGGAGGGAAGTAACAGATGGACTTCATTTTCACCTTGTTTCCTATTTCAGCTCACAATATGGCCACATACAAGTGTTAGCACTGGCACAAAAGAGGGAGTCCACCCCAAGAAGAAGGGCAGAGATGGTCCCACACAATGTACCATTAAATTTCACCTTCTATACCAAGTTTTCTTTCTGACGCACCTTATGAGCTTCTTCTGCTTCCACAGCCATGGCTTGAAGCTTTTCCATGTGAAGAGTAGCTAGCTCAATTTTCAAATTATTTTGGGCAAGCTGAAGTTCTTCAGCATGCTTTAACTTCAACATCTCTATCTCCTGAACCACGTGTGCTTGATGCATTTTATCCTTCTCCTGGAGCTGTTCTGCATGCTGCAGCTGCAGCTTCTCGAGCGCCTGATTGTGTTCATCCCTTATATTCTGAATTTCAGACAGGTAGGATGACTCCAACGAATCCAGATTTGCTAAGTGTTTCACCTCCAGCTCACCAATTTCTGTCTGATGCTTTGTCTGTAGTTCAGCAACACAAGCTTGAAGCTGAATCTGCTGTTTACTTTCTAGTGTAGATTTAAGTGTCTCAATTTCAGCTTGGTGCTTTGCTTGCAACTCAGATGTAAGAGACAAAATCTGCTGCTTATGCTTCTCCTGTAACTGCTGACTTTGGAGCTCCAGTTCATCCACATGTTTCTTTTTCAGCTCTTGGAGAAGAATCTCTTGCTCAGTTGTGAATTTCTGAGTCATAGCTTTCTGTTCCTCCATAAATCTGTATTATTTCCAGGAAAGTTAAGAGAATTTTGTCAAAAAAGACTTTTTTTTCTTAATATTAAAAACAAATAAGAAATAAATAGAAAAACAAGTAGGCCTTACTTAGCCTCCACAAATTTTACTTCATGTTTCAAATAGAGAACTAATTCAAAGCAAGCCACAAAGATCATTTCATAGCCACATATTTGAAGGTTTAAGCAATGTCACTTAATAGTAACTGGTCACTACTAGGTAGACTAGAACACTTATTAAATTAGTATTTGCTAGGTGCAAATATTTAAACAATTGCTTACTAATACAAAGCAACATACAAACGTTGTTCTCTGAGAAAATACTGCCATATGAGAGGACATAGGACAAGTATGTATGCTGCCTGCAAGGAAACAAGGTGTAATAAGAAACAACTCTAAAAACATCAGGTTAAGACTGAGACATAAAACTCTGTGCCAGTGTATGTGGGATACCTGGAGGCCTGTCCAAAATCATCTCAGCTCTCTGAGGTGTGCTTAGAGTTTGACGTAGAAGATGTAGTATCTGACATGCTGCAGTTAACTGCAATCATTAACTCTAGTATTTTTGGATACAGACACCAGTAATTAAAGAGTGATTGGTTATTTAAGTTCCTTCTTTCAGTGTTTTCTTACTGTAATTATTTCCCTAATCCTGTTTTATGAGCATATGTTCTGGGGAGAAGAGAAGGGATAAATGTAAAGCAACTCATCCAAATACAAACCTGTAGCTGTTTGATTATTTCCTGTAATACACCAAAAACCATGGGGGTAGGAAAGGGAGGAAAAACTGAGCAGTTAAAACCTCCATGTCCAACCAGAACTGAAGACTATCATATGCAGTCCATTCATCTCAGCATTCAGTGAATAACACAAGCTTTATTCACCAGGAAAAACTTGCTAAAATTAATTTGAATTGTTTAAAAACACTTGAAAAATTTAGAATTTTTCCAGGTACATGCCCTGTAACACCTCCCCTCCTCCAAGGCTAGTACACCATTTTCAGCTGTGTGTTGCATTCTTAACTGTAAGAGGCACAACTTGACTACACTTCCTTTGATTTTCTAGACTGGATTAAATGCATTTACATGAAGCAAAATTCTATAATGGACAGCATTACTGTTCCTCGGAAGAGTAAGCTTTACATACGTAAGTTGGCTAGTGCCATCAAGTGACAAACCTACATCACTACAACTCAACGTTTAAAATAAGACTCCTTAAGTTTTAAATAAGAAAAAGTAACAATAACAATGACTGAAAGATGAGTGAAAGTGCTCAGATATTTAGTATTTACTTGTTTTGTGCTTCCATAAGTTTCAGTGCACATTCCTCCTGCAGACCAAGTGTGGCCTTCTCCATTTCTTTTGCCATGAGCGCTTTGGCTGCCTGCAGGTCACTGTCATACTGCTCCTGAGATCTCTGCACAGCCTGTGCAGTTGCGAGGCTGTCCTCTAGTTGCTGCAAGCTGTTCTGCTGCTCTTTGACCAGCTTCTCCAACTCTAGGATTCTGGCAGCTTGATGATCTCGAAGCTGATTCATTTCAGCTTCACGGAGTTCAAACGCCTCTTGCAAACTCTGCTTCTCATGCTCCGCTCTGCTCTGCAGCTCCGTGCGCAGCAGCGATAACGCCTCTTCTGCCTGGATCCTCTGGTCCTCCCTCTCACATTTCCATTCCTTCTCCTTTTCTTTATACATCATCTCTATTTTCTGAACTTCTTCTCTGGCTTCTTTTAGTTCATTCTTATGATCCTCAGCCATTTTATGTTTTACCTGTGAACACAGTTAGTAAAAATATGCATAAAATGCCAAAAACAAACTGAAGTGTGTGAAGTGAACATTCTTATGCATCAGGTCTTGGAGAGACTCAATTCTTCCAGTGAAGTCATCCTTCAAACAAAAATAAGGCTGAAACATCCATTTATAGGTACTTGGATTAAACACACTATTAAGAATTAATTGGGGTAAGGAAGAGATGGAAAAACTAAGGGAAAATTCTACAACAGGGAACTCTATGTTGTTTTCTCTTGGGGCAACTTCATTTCAGGAGTTCAACTTATAAAGCTAATGGCACCTTGGGTATTTATATTGGGCATTATTAGGAATCTCTTTTGAACCTGTCTTCTCCTTATTCCAGCAGTATTTCATGTGCAGTGTCCAAAACCATGACCTCATACAGAACATACAAGCAACATAAAAAGCATGTAGCATAAGAGGAGAAGCCAAAGCACCAAATGATAGCTCAGTGACGAAAGGTAAAAAACCCCCACATGTTATATATTTTTAGAGTCAACAGGTAATAAATAAATAGTCAACTAAAGAAACAAGAGGGTCTTAAAAGCTAGTCAGAGATCACATGGGAGCACTGCTATGAAGTAAACTCTTTGGTTTTCACTTAGTAGGTTTGTTTTGAACACATATTCAGGCATTCATTATGCAACAAGCTAAACAGAGACAGGAACAGTAAAACCCCAGATTTTGTTTATCACAATCCATAACAAACTTTGTGCTGGATATTGGAAATAGAGAGGCAATTAAGGAAATGGGTTCACTCTGCTTCTGACAGCGAGAGATCAGAAAGCAAACAAAATATGTAGGATCAGCATGCAGGACAAGCTCATTTCAGATATGGTTCTCTTAACTCCAAGGCTCTGAAAGTGAAGGTATAAGACCTACAGCAAAGCAAATCAAAAGCAGATATCTGCTGATTCTTCCTTCTTTCCTCAAAAAATGGACTGAGAAATTACTCCTGGTTATTTACTTTAAGAAACAGTACTATCAAAACCAGACATTTCTCAGAGGGGACCCATTCAGCAGAGGGGCTTTTTCCATCTGCCATGGTGTTTTCTGTGAAGTTCCCCATTACTGTGTGAGCACCCCAGTGCACCATGTCCCGTCTGCAGCAGGACACTAGGATGTGCTGCAGAGGGATGTTCAGCATGAGGACCTTTAGTATGCACCTGTATTGGAGTGGTATGTGCATGCTTGACCCCCTTCACCATAGAAGGTGGGCTGGATCAAGCCCTGAAGCACCTGCCTTCCCACACCACCTGCGCTCTTAAAGAGAAGTTCATCTGCAGAGAAACTCAGAATTTCACACTAAGGCCTCTGACCTTCAGACTCTTATGCCAATATTTGTGTGTACCCATGCAAGTCCATTTAAAGCTGAAGCTACTATCACTAAACTAAGCACATTTAAAGATAAGTGCTTCTGTCTCCCTTGACAGCCCCAACAGATCTGAGCTTGCCTCCTTTATACAAAACACAGAACTGTAATATGACTTACCTTCTCCATTTCCTCTTTCAGGTGCTTTTCATTCTGCACAGAAAGATCTTTTTGTTTCGTTATATCTTCCTTTAAATGCTTTATCTCTTCTAGAAGCCCTGCAATACGTTGTTTCTCAGAGTGGAGGAGGGAGAGCTTAGCTCTGTGCTCTTCCTCCAGCTCAGACACTCGTGTAGCCACCTCCATTTCAACCTGACGTGCGGCATCTTGAGCACATTGTAGGCGCAGCTTGGTGATTTCTGGAAAGAAAAAGAACAACACAGACATTCTGGAATTTATTTGCCCTTAACAGGTCCTATTAATGCACATAAATAAAGCTGAAAGTTGCCAGCTGTGCAGTTTATCAGTAGCCATACTAGCTACAACCAACAAGAATCCCTTACCAGGATGATTTTGTGCCCTGCTCCCATTTACCACCACCTTTGAAATTTATCAGTGTCAACCAACACACAAAGAACAATGAGGAAGGATCATGAAACTTGTGGCAGGACCTCCCTCCTCTCAGCAGCAGATTTATGCAAGTTTTATCTCTTCTTTTACACATACTATTTATACAAGGCACTTCCCCAAAAAGCACATGGGATGATTCTCTAAACATTCTAATTTAAGCAATTTTTATTTACTGTCTAGTATTAAAAATAAATACACGAAGGTAAGAAATATCACTTCAAATCAAGTAAGTTGTACTGATCCTTCTAATCAAGAGAGAGTGCAAAACTGTTCCAGCCACGTGTGTGATATAGTTAAGTGTAAGTTATGGATGATGAGTTCAAATGTCTGTGTACCATCCTGTGCTTCCAGAAAGAGGCTGCAGAAACAACTGCCATGATCCCTTACTTGCATCTCAACGATATATACGTTTCTTAGTGAACCAGTACAAGGCAGTATACTTCCATAAATTACAATTCCAATAAAAGCAGCAACTGTTAAGAAATTACATAAACCCACACACAGGAAGTCTCATTAAATTTAGCCCAAAGAGGAATTTTAACCTGAACCCTACAGCAAAAGATACCTGGTAGAAATTCCGCTCCCTAAAATTACTTTCCTCTTTGTATAAAAATTTCATCCCAGAACGTATGCCAGCTTGGCAAACACAGGAAGGAATTATTAATGTTACATGAGCAGAGCACTATCAAACCCACAAAAGGAACCCATGTAAAAAAGGCATGGAACATAGAACAAGTGAGAACGGACCCATTTCATGCACATGCCCTTCTAGGCATCAAGAATGGAAACCTGATCAACTCCTTTTAGCAGGTTTTACTACAGAATAATCAGCTCCAGGTCACCACATCATGCCAATAAAGTCAAAAAGCAAAGTGCTCAAAGCCAGGGATTAACACGTGCTAAGCATTCCCTATGGTTTTGAGTAAACTAATAACAAATGGAAGACTTCTTCAAACAAGCCTTTAAATATTTAAAGAAAAATATAAGCCATGCAAGCAGCTTACCATTGTACTTTCAAGCCTGTCAGGCCATCTTACCTTTAATATGTGCTTCTGAAAGTTGGGCACGGAGCTGCTCAAGTTCTAAGCAATGCTTTCTTTTCATTTCCTCAATTTCTGTTACATATTTGTCTGACAGATCCATCCTCATTTTCATTATGTCCTCTTTATATTGCAGTGCAAGGGAAGACCTTAAGGAATCTAATTCACGCCTGTGTTGCTCTTTAAGTTCTGCCTGCAAACAGGCAAGTTCTTCCTACGTCTCCAATGGGTTAGAAAGACATCTTCAGCTTCAGCTTTCAAGAAACCATGATGAGAATATTTCACCAAGAGCACCACACGAGTTGCACAGCTAGGCAACTGTTTGACACCTTTGTATCTGATTTTGCTCAGTGCCTGCCACCCGGAGGACACAAAGCTACAGAACACCATATTTCATGAGTTCTGCTATGCTGAGAAGAATTTAGAGTTGCTAATTTACAATATACTCGTCAAAGATAATTAAACCTTAATAAATGTCTCAAATTAATCAACGTTCTGCTAAGAGCTAGGAATCAGACATCAATTTTTATGCAGGTCATGTAATGGACAACAGAACTTTGATATATCAAAAATACTACCTGATGTTGTTCCAGCTGTTGATTTAGCTGACCAAGTGCATCCCTTCTCTCTCTCTCAGCAGCCTCTTCAAAAACTGGGACAGAAGAACTGAGAAAAGTATTTTAAAGTTGGAGATTGTACCACGTGTCACAAATTAAGTTACATGAACTTAGTGACTTACGATGTAGTACTGAAAATAGACACAGACCAGCAAGAACAACTGCTCAGGACTGTGCAGTCATGACTTCCATCACTGTGCTTTCAACCTAATGCCCAGCCCAAATATATTTAGATGCTACCACATCTTTTATATACCCCAAAAGCATGCTTTCCTAAGAGGAGATGAAAGGAAAAAGAACAGATCACCTGTTGTCCCCAGCTGGATCTTGACTCACTTCCAACTCTGACAGTGGATATTCCTTAAGTTCTTGCAGTCTCTGATGCAGCAAAGTCAATTCTTCTCTGTAGTTTTCTTCAGCAACTCTTAACTGTGTTTCAAAATAAAGTCTCAGTTGCTCCAGTTCAGCTTCATGCTCACTTCTTCTTTGCTGTCGTTGCTGCTCAAATTCCTGTTTTAAGTGCTCTATCTCTTCCACCCGTGATGCACGAGCCAGGAGCTGCTCTTTTAGCTCTGGGATGGAAACAAAAGCAACACAAGGACTCAGATGTACAAATCTGTAGGCTGAGTCATCCTGTGAAGATCTTTTAGATTTTAAGAAAGCAGTGAAGTGCTGCCGCACAAGCTACGTGAGAAGATTAACTTCTGAAAGATGAAACCCTCCTTCCTCAGAAGACAGCAAAACCATGTTCTGCATTCATACTGCATTCAGAGAAACCATCCTCATTGCTAGAATCACAACTACCAGCAGACTGCTAGCCCTCCTTGTTTCCTTGTGCTTCAGGTGTGGGCCAGTGACATGCAGGGTCCTGCAATACTGCTCAACTTTCACATCTGCTTGTTGTAGCAACCAGAAGAAATAATTGAGCCAAGAACATTGTTTGCTCCAGGGAAAATTATGCAACCAACAAAATCAACTTTAGCACAAACTATGCAGAAAACAAAGTCACAAGAAAGAAAAAATAAAAATCAATTCTGGATTCCTTTAGTGATGGTTTGACTACACATCATTAGCTCAAGGAAAGGCTAAGCTAATTGAATTAAAAAGAACCATCCAACAAATAAAATAATGTAAAAAATAAAAAGAATGCAGTAGAGAACAGTGACCAAGGCTGATTCAGCAAGGCACCTCCTTCCAGGGAGTGAGAGCAATGGCCCACACTGCAGCATGAACTCTCAGAATTTTCTTCTCCATGTTGTGTTTTAAAGAAGCTGTAATATACAGTAAGTGAAAAGGCAAGAAAAAAACCCCAAAAGTCATAAAAGGGAATTAAAAAAGATTCCCAGATGGCTCCACTTCCCAGATCACTTAAGTTAGCTGAATCCCCATAGAATCAACTGAAGATGAACTGCCTTTCAAGAAGAAAGATTTTGGAGAAAAGCATCTGCTTACATCATGCAAGAAGAAAAACCCCAGAAACATTTATGGAAAGAGAAGATGCCACCCAGGAAGCAACAGATCTGATTGTCAGTGTGTTTTTGTGCAGCAAACCAGAAAAAGCACACGTGGCAATGAAAAAGTCTCACAGCAAACGTGCAAACAGAAAGAGTAAGTAGATGGCACCAAGCCTGCTTCCAAAGGGAGCTGCTGCCAAGCACAGGGACCAGTGGAATCAAGTGACAAGCAGGGACTAGTAACACCACTGATGGGACTGGGAGGGGAAGTCCAATCTGGCACAGGGAGATTTTGCCTCACCAGCAGTCGGCCAGCACAAAATAAACCCAGAGAAGTGTTCAACAGTTTTGAACTGGCATGTCACTCTTATATTAGAGAAGCAATCCTATTGTCCAGCTGCTGTGGTTTGAGCCCACCACCAGGAGTCCTCAAACCAATCCAAATGCATTGGCAAATGATCACTCAAGTGAAGAAAAGCAGAATAAAACAAAACAACTGTAAGGACTCACACACGGAAGGAGATATCCTCACCTGGATCATGGGCTTGCATTCTGGTCTCCCCATCTCAAGCAAGATGAAGAAGAAACAGAAAGGGTCCAAAGAATGTGAACGTGAGTGATTAGAAACATGGAAAGACATTTGAGATGTTAATTAAGATTAGGGCTACAGAGAGGAAATACAAGAATTCCTGCAAATGCTATCTGCTAGAATACTGTAATATCAAAACAGAGATCTGAAACAGCCAGGGTAAAGTCTGACTAGATAGAAAATTTAGGTATTCAATTTATGACCAAAAACCCACTAAAAAAAAGAAAATCCTCACAAACCCTATTATACTGCAAAAGCTACTTAGTTACATTCTGTAGACAATCTGAAATTGCATTTTCAGCAAAAGGCAGATGTAACATGCTTCAACTACCCCAGCATAAGTAAAGAACATCACTTAGTGTTACAGTTTCAGTATGAGGTGAACACACACAGCCAAGGTTAATGACTTTGTCTCTGGCTTTTTTATTGTTCCAGAATTTCTTCTTTCATTTATCTGTTTGTACAGACACATCTGAGACATGTTCTGCTTCATTTCAACCAAAAATGTGTCATCTCCGATTACTACACTGTGAATTTGACTGTTTTAATGCACCTAAACCTTGAATTAGGTATCTCAAGGTATACAAAGCACAGAGTGACAGATTTCAAACTCACTAATTTCTCTCAAGCATTAAAACTTTCATAAGCTTAATAAAGATACACTTAAGGCTAACTTAAAAAAAAGAACAAAACCAAACCCAAAGCTGTTCGTGCTTAATTGCTGTGCACAATATTTTTCTTTTCTATTTGGCCTTCAGGTTTAGGGAATTTGTTTATTTTATAAACAGAAGCATCATTATGGAAAAAGGAAATTATTTTTAGCCCTTTAATTAAACAAAAAGCAACTTCTACCTCCAGATATAATGTAATTACACAGTTCAAAAGTGTTTCTGCCTTCTTCTTTTAAAGTAGACTGATCTCTTAATTATCTCCAAATAAAAGAAAATATATCATAGTCACAATAAACCACTCAAAGTCACACACTAAGTGGTGATCTACCTTCAGTGGACAGTTCTCAGCGGAATTCCTACCCACCTCTATACATACGTTCATACAAACTGGAGCCAGTTATTGCACTGACCAGTATCTTCTCCATCTAACCTAACTACATTATACATAATTTTACATCGCAATGAAAAGTGTTTCTTTTTCACTGAAGATTTTTACAGGATGCTGGAACACTGTAGGAAGGGAAAGGGAACCAGCATGAGGGAGCTGTTCCCCACAGCCACACCATGCTTTTTGACTTTGCAAAAACAACCAGTCATCTGACACTGAATCACCTCTCACTTCAAAAACAGCTCACTAGAGCACAACCCACTGATGTTCCTGTGATCTACCTGTGTGTTTGCAGCACACGGTTAGAAGTATTTTGTGTCAATACTGTGGTGTACTTCTACATGGAGAAGAGGTAAAAAATGACAAGTGTCAGTTCTGAACATACCACTGAGCTCCTGCCGGTTTGCGCGGGTACTGTCGAGCTGAGACCAAAGCTGCCGGATTTCTTCTTGTGACTGAGTCTTGAGCTCTTCATGCCTGACCTGAAGCTCCTCCAGCTGTACAAAACATTTTAAAACAATTTTGTTCTAAATGTTGGGTATTTTTATGCAACAGGCAGTTCTGTCAGGTGGAAACAGTAGGTGACAACCAGACTCTCAGCTCCTGACCCAGGGATAGTGAGATGCACTTACTGGTTAGACCCGCTCCTCTCCAAGAGAGGAGTTTATTCCTGATCCACATTTATCATCACTGGCAAAAATAAATGGAACACAGAAAGCAGAAAATCCAGCATATAAATACAGAGGAAGAACCAGCACCAAATGGCACTCAGGCAATTGCATTCAGAAAGATAACTTTATAAACTCCCAGAGTATTTACCTACTTTATGAGATACATTTTAGTTATTCAGTAAGATCCCTAAATACAAATAAGTTGCTCAATTACATGCAGATGATTCCATTTTTGTTATATTATATATAGGGCAATCAATCATTCAAAACACAAAGAAACCTATCTTACCTCCTTCTGAAGAGTCTGTTCTTTTCCTTGGCTCTTCTTAACATCTTCTAGGTGCTGGTTATGTTCAGTCTGCAGCTGTTCTTGTAATTGTGTAATGGCCAATTGGTGTTGCTTCTCCAGTTCTACACATTTTGCTAAAATTAAAAATGAGTTCTGTTATACCACTATCCTGGTTTCTGAATAACCTGTATAACTTGAGTGCAAGTAAAACAGAAAGCATGTCTCTGACTAGCACAATAGCTTACAGGAAATTGCAAAAAATACTTGAACAGTCAATTATTTGAAATTCAAACACTTTGCCACAGTGCTTCCTAGCTCTCTGCATCCCACAAGAGGGAACCAACAGCACTGCCAGAGGGATGAGATGTGCTCTCTGCATACATGAGGTCAAGGCATATCCTTGGAACAAGGAACCCAGCAGTTCTTCATTGCCTGCAAACACAGAATTTCTCCAATGACCACACCCTGCAGCAAGCAGAGAGATGAATGGGAAGGACTAGGAGAGCTCATGCCAAGTGTGCTCCACTTCAGCACTGGGCACTTTCTGAACCCCTGTGAACTTGCTGCTACCTCATGTGGTCAACAAATCTTGACTGTCCCAGAAAGAATCTGCAACCAAGTGACCACATCCCAGCCACAGTGAGCTGCACAGGGTGCACAGGCCTTGGCAAGTTGAAAAGGCATCATCCAGTGCCCTTAGCACTGCAGTTCCAGTTATCTGGAGAGTGTTACTCCCCATGCCTCCCACCTACAGACTGCCTAAGAGCCAGGCAACCTGATTGGCTCTCTCTTCTCACTCCATGGCACACAACATCCCACAGCTTCTTTCATGGCATCACTGACAGTAATTGTGCCAGTCAACCACTACCTCGTCAAATGTGTCAGATTTGAAAGAACTACACAAGCTACTTCTGTCTCCCACCTGCACCTCAGCAAAAGGCAAAGAGAGGTACCTGCCTAGGTACTCATCAAGATTTTATTCTTCAAGTTAGTGAAAACTCCAATTACAAAAGTCTCAAAAACATCACTTTCAGAACAGTATTTCAAAAAGTTTGTCCCATCAAGCTTTAAATATTCACAATCCAAACCTATTTCGTTGTTAGTAGAACCTTCCATGGATTCTATTGATATTAATTGGAATTTTTTATTAATTCAGTGATTGCCAAAGCTGGTTTCCAGCAGGCAGCAAAACAGCTCCTCCCTTTAATAGGTCCAAGGGAAAACACACTCCAGCTCATATTCCCTGGAATTCCAAAGGCAAGGCAGCTAACGAGGCTTTAAATAATTTATTTACAACCTCTTTTCTAGACAGTCTTTTGTCATCAGTCCAGTTTTCAAGTAAGAGTACATGGATATATCTTGTATTTGCCTTTTGCACAGGTTCAAAAAACACTTGGTTAGCTTTGCCATTGCTCAACACGGATAATTGCTTCCCAGACCATGGCACTTACTTTTAGACTGTTCATTCTCAAGAGAACGAAGCTCCAGCTCTGTTTTGACTTTTTCCAATTCCATTTCCAGAGTTTTCTGCAGTTCCACCATTTCAGTCTGGTGTTTTTCAGACAGCTCTTCAAGTGTGCTTGCCAAACGCATCTCAGACTCCAATTGCCAGTCTCTTTTAAGGCTCTAAGAAAGCAAAACATGCCTTCTTAAAGCAAATTTTACCTTTTTGGCCCCCATATTTCCTCCTCCATTTATCTGTCTTCTAAAATAAACATGTAGTAGACTGAAAGAAGTTTTACTTTTTCTTGTACGAAGAACTTAATTTGTACCTCTAATGCCTGGATATGTGTCTCTTCCATTTCCAATTCTATTTTCTTTCTCTGATCAACTGTGAAATAAAATACTAATTATTAATAAAGTTGCATAAAATGTTATAATTAAATTTTAAGTAGAAATATGGATGATTACCAGGTTGGGAATCAAATTCAAGGCTTGAGTGGGAAGGTATGCAGAAGTGCAAGATACCACATTCTGTCCAAGTCTCCTGTTATACTACACCCCAGGAATTCACTTTCATTTTAGAAAATAAGCATCTAGCAGTTACAACTGCAAATACAACCCTGAAGGTTAAGCTCAGTTTAATTAGCAAAGGAAAGTCTTCTTTCTACAGAGAGCATTACACTAAAAAAAAAACAACAACAAACACCCCACAACTCCCCAACACACCTTCCTGATGATATAAATTCAAATGCTCATCAGTTCGATGTTAGCATTTCACTGCACATCACTATTAAGTGTCTGAATCATCTCAGTCTCGAGAGACACAGCAAAAGAACAGCAAGCAGCAGAAGCAAGTAGGAAACCTCCTAAGGTTTCTTCTAAAAATGCTTAGGAAACAGAGTGCAAGGAAGATGCTGTTTCTGCTCAATTACAACAGACACCAACAGCTTCTTCCTCCCCAGATGCATTTCACTTCTTGTTCAGCACCTTTCCTGACCTGCAGGAACCTTGTAAAGGCCTAGTCCCCTTCTCACAGCTTCCATGGACTGTCACCTGAGCTTACAACCTTATTTCAAGTCTTTCAGTGAGAAATGAGAACTCAAGAGACTAAAATGGTGCCAGATACCCATCTAAGGATCCAGTAGAGGAAGAAATACCAGTTAGAAGACATTGCCCCATGCCTAGGTCAAGCCAGGTCACGCCCAGCCATTACCTCCCCTGATGTCTTTATACTAGTCCCTTAGGTAACACTACCTACAAGTCCCCAGCAGGTCTCCTGCTTCATCTAATCACTGATTCTCCTTCTCAGCCCCTAAATTCAAACACTCACAAGGCTGTTATGCTCATATTAAGCTACACTGCCAAAAGACATGTAAACAGCACTGATCTTAAGAACTTGATACAGATCTCCTGCTCCCAAATCCCACCCATCAGTTCATTCTATTACTGCTGATAACAAATGATTTCCTACTCTCAGGTCAAAAAGACACAGCTTTAAAATATTCTGTTTCTCTCAGTGAAGGAAAACTAAAGGAATGGTTCCAAAACATCTTTAGTGAATTCCTGCAGGCCTCACATTTCTCCAGAAATTCCTCAAAACTCTACCAGAGCACCATCAGTAGGCCTTGAGTACTATCAAGTATAGCTTTCCTCTTGCTGATATCAATATACAATCTTAGATCAAACACATCACAAAGGACACCTAGTTGCAGATTCTCACTGAGCTCTTCAGCTCCTTTCCAACTCTTCTATCCTCCTTTTGAAACCACTGAGAAGATAAACCAGGAAGCATTTCCATATCTTTTCAGACACACAACAGTAGTCAGTGTTGACTCAGGACAATAAAACACTTAAGAAATATAAGGGGTAAGAGCTCAACTCTTTGCACTTGCAATTTTTTAGAGGAGCTCTGTCTAATGCCTCCTGAAAGCAACTACCTCAATACATTGCTATTTTACAGAAGCAGCAGCAAAACACCCATATAGCTTAAGAAAAATTAAACTTAGGTCTGGACAGCTTCATTTTGGCATGTAAGTTGTGCAGCCTTGCACACGCCAGTCTAGCTGCTGTCCCTATCCAAGTGACCAGCTGTCACTCAAAAGGCCAACTCCATGACAGGACCTTGTGGAGGAAGAAAAGTATTGATGGGGTTGCAATTTCATTATAGCCCAGTTTTAATACCTAGTTCTTGTTGGTGTTTTGACTTCAGGTCTTCTTTTTCCTTCAGACTCTGCTCTTTCATCTTCTCTGCCTCCAGCTGATGGCGGCTTTGCAGAATGGCCACCTCCTGAGCACGCTTGTCGTTCAGCATCTCCCGCAGCTCCACCAGGGCAGTTTCCTTTTCTTTCCTCAGGTTTGACTGGGTAAGCTCCAGCTGGGAGGTGTGCATGTTGTTTAAGCTTAGACGTAAGGCTTCCAGTTCAAGGCTGTGCAGTGTCTGTAATGGAGAAGATAAAGGGTCTTTCATTCCCCTCTAATGAAATGTGTTTGCTTTCCTCATCACCAGTTTTACTTTCAATTGTTCCTTGTTTAGACTTATGTGGGGAAGAAAAGAACAGTTTCCCACATCAACCCACCTAAGTTTTGCCTTTCTGTATCTGAAGAGTGTTTCTTCATGGCAGGGATGGAACCCTGCAAATAAGCTGACTTTTGTCACAGGGAGATTTGCATCACATTTTAAGTGCAAAGTAAAAGGTGTTCCTCACCTCTTGACTTCATCTATCAAATACCTTCCATCTGTTCACTCCCTCACAATGTTACCAGAGCAAAGCTCACCCCAACCTTTCCCCATCTGTTAGAAATCTCCTCCTATTTGCTATTGGTTATAACTTGTTAAAAAGCAAAAAGTGTGAAGTGGCATTGGAAAAGTGGAAGCAAAATTCATCCTGTCTCATGGAAAAAAAAAAAAAAAGTAAGGCATATCCAACACTTAGAAATGGCAGCTAAAACAGATCAAACTTCAGTTCTTAAAAAAACGAAACAGTACACAAACATCTTCCAGTAAGACCTAATACTAGATACATTCTTTTCAATTCCACTTTGTATTTAGTGGAAGTGTTCAAAAACCCAGTAAATGTTTAGAGGAAAATGTCATGTTCACACGTTTAAGTTTAACATTAAAACATTCCCAGTTACAGTAGTGGGAAACCTTAAAAGTGGGAGGGCTTTAGTATATTTTTTAAATTTTAATGAATTTTAGTAATTTTTGTTAAATTTATTAGGATATGGAAAATGAAAAAGTGGGTGTTTGTTGTTTTTTTTAACAACCTACTCATTTAAGCACCCAGTTTTCTTCAGAATTAATGTTAATACACAATGACAGTGAGAATCCTGAAGAATGACTGTAGAAAGTATCTACTACCACCCACCAAGGGAATACTCTTAATTTTTCAGTCACAGCACTATATAAAGCAGCACCCATTGTATGCACAGAACTCAAGATCTTTTTTTTGCAACAGCTGGGTAAGACAGGTGAGCACTGTGGGGTTTTTTTCACCTGTGACTGGAGCTGTGCTTGCTCCAGCTCCACTCTGTGTGCGGCTGCCATTTGCTTCCGAAGTTCATCCAACAGGTGCTGCTGTTCTTTTTTTAGCTCAGCACAGACCTTCTCCATTTCCTCTTGGTGTCTAGTCACCAGTTCAGAGATTTCACGATCATGCTCTCGTTCGTGCACCTGCAGAGAAACAGCTTTCTTCAAAACATGGCTCGTTAGTCCCCAATAGACTTGAGCCAGAACTCTCCCCTCCTCCTGACCCCAAATCAAAGACACCACAGGAAAACAATAGATTTTTGCTTCTCTAAAACATTTATACTGCTTAAATGACAAACAACACAAACTGAGTTTATTTTTTCCAAAATAAACCCAATTACAGCCTTTACCTTTTTTATGAAAGCAATCTGTTCCTTTCTTTCTTCTTCCAACTTCTGCTGGTTTTCCACTTTATCTTTTATTTCAGCATTTAACTCTTCTATCTGCAAACAGGCATTCAGACATTTGCAATTACTACCTTAAGCGTTGCGAAATGCTAAGACTCCTGCCATTCACAGGGTTTCCTACCCTTTTCCTATGTGTCCAACTCACTTTAGTTAACTGGGCCAGGTGCTGAGTCTCCATTTTATCCATTTCCTCCTTGTAATGTTCCACCACCTCCTGCACAGCTTGTGCAGACCGAAGGGACTCCTGCAAGCGAGTCTCCAGCTCCCAACAGACTTGCTTCAAGTGGGCAATTTCTTCTGCCAACTGGCTTTTTTTCTCACTGTATTCAGTACTTTTTGCTTTTATTTCAGCATCAAGTTTCTGAATTTCCAGCTTGCTGAAGTTTAATCTGTCTTCATATCCTAGTCTTTCACACTCTTGTATTTCTTTGAGGTTTTTCACTTCAGCACTAAGTTCATGTATGTGCTTCTCAAGATCCCCAATGATGCCAGCGTTCTCTGCTAGTGCTTTCTCTGCTTTTACCAGATTCCCCTCCACGACAGATAATCTCTCTCCTAAGGCTGCTTTTTCCTTCAGTAACAGTGCTAGATTTTCTTCTTTATTATTGATTTCAGCTTTGAGCAACTCCTGTTCTTTTAGCAATGTCTCTTCAGATACAGTTTTCTGACCAAGCAGCTCTGCTATTGTCTGGTTTTTATCCCTCTGAGCATCAAGCTGGCTTTGCATTTGATCCCTCTGACTTTGCAAAGCAGCCAACTGACGGCCAAAGAGGGACTGTACTTCACTTGTCACGGAATCAGAAGCTGTTTTCTGCTCTTGAACCTCTTTCACTAATTGCTCCTGAGTTCGCAGCCGCACCATCAACATTTCTTTTTCATCCTGGAGGTCCTTCACCATTTCTTGCCAAGTAGAGGATTTTGACACTTGAGTTAAAGGCTCTACAGCACCATAAGGCTGGCCTCTATCCCCACCCTGCTGCTTCACTAGAAACAATATTTTGTTTTCAAGTTTTTTCTCCTTCTCTGTTTTTTGAAGAAGTTCTTTTTCACAATGGATCCGTGCCTTGCGCTCCTCATCCAGTTCTACATGCAGAGAAGACAGCTCAGCCATTACTTTTTCCCATTTTCCAACAGCTTCTTGGGTCTGGTGATAAGATTTCTTCAAGGCTGATTCCTTCTCATGGAGCTGCTCAGTTAGCTGCACACATCTCTCTAATAAACAAGCTGTCTCATCATCCTTTATGTCACTGTGATCACTTATTTTGTTTTGCTGCAGGGAGGTATCTGACAAAAATGAAACAAAGGCCTCTGCTCCCACCTCAGTCTCTTCAAAAGCCTCTTGAGCCAAACTGCTAGGACACATTTCCTCATCAAGGCCAAAGTTTAATGGAGGAGGTATAAAATCTCTGTTAGGTTCTTGAAGCAAACTACTGTCTAACCCATACCTACTGCATCTACCTTCTTCAATAGTATCACCTTCAGAAGTGCTGGACACACATGACTCTTCTGGTCCCTCCGTGGAGATGAGATACTTAGCCAATAAGCCTTCAGCACCACTGAGCCGCTCTAGTTCTGACAAGTGCTCGTCAGACAGGTTCTCTCCTTCACTACCCTCATTATTCTCTGCCATCTTTGAATTTCTAATTTCTTCTAATGGATCCCTGGAGAAGTCTGCTCCCAGGTCATGCTGGAACTCTAGTTCTTCATGAACCAGCTCAACTTCACCTTTCAATTGCTGCTCTTTATTCCACTTGATCTCAAGCTCTGTGCTCTGCAACTGCGACACTGCTGGTAAAATCTGGTTTTCTTTTAATTTCATTAGCTTTTTATTGGAGGCAATCTTCTCATCATGCTTTTGCCTTGCATCTATACTCTTTTCAGCCTCGTAAAATCGTTTCTCTTTTAATTTCTGAATGAAAGAGTTCAGTTTCTGAATCTCCTCCTTCAAGGACCGTTTTTCTTGTTTATATCGCTGGGCTTCCTTGACTTGCTCTTTTGCATCAGAGAGTTGAGACTTGAGACCATCAATTAAATCCCCATATTTAGTCTCAATTTCAGATTTTGCTCTCTGGAAGTCTTCCTGCTGGTTTTCAAGTTTCCTTCTTAAATTTTCTTTATCGATTTCAGATTGACTAAGACTATTATTTAAATCAATTATTATGCCATTCAACTTCTGAATGTGCTCTTCAGAATTCAGAGCACTGAGCTCTTTTTTTAACTGTTCAAGTCCATTCTTATATTTTAAAATAATTTCTTCTTCATATGCCTGCCTGGCTTCTGCAACCTCTCTTCTGTGGCACTTCTCCAGCTCAGCCCTCAGGTTCTCCAACCGTCTGCAAGTATCCTTTTCATGACTGGTTTTCAGTTCTTCAATATGTTGCTGTTCTTTCATTTTGGATCCAGCTATTTCATTCTTCAATTCAGTGATTTCTGAGTCCCGGAGAGAAAGGGTGTCTTGTAGGACAGACAAGCTTAATCTTTCCGATGTCAGTAGATCCTGAAGACTTTTAATATGTTGTTCTTTTTCTCCCATGCTTTTGCACAGCTGTTGCATTGTATCTTTCATATCCTCTTCCATTTGCAAAAGAAGATTTTCTTTATCTTTGGCATTCTTAAAAATAAAATATTATCATATGAAATATGCCACTGAAATATGATGTGTTTTAATCTCCTTAAGCCTCATATTTTTCATGTATCTTCTCAAATAATATTTACTGTTCAGTGCTGGGTGTATCATTGGGCTAGGCAACAGGATTTTTAAGCACATATTTGAGAGTGGAAAGTACTACTGAAACACTCTTCAAGCGTGGCAACAATTAGGAACTGTTCAAGCAATAACAAATGTCACTGACTCCAAAGAGAAAGAAAATAGCAGACATATCAAATTTTGGGTATTTTAAACAAACATAAAAATCACAGGAATCACAGCTACACACACCTCTCCATCTCACACCCAGTTGCACAGAGAAAACACTTCCCACAAGCAGGACTTGGGCAACAGAACAACCAAGTCAAACTTCAACTCATCTGACTCACTTAAAAGTTGAAGGCTTCTACCTTTGGCATTGCTGGTTATATGCTTCAAAGAAATCAGCCCTTTTAAGCTATTCCTTTACTAGATGTTAGTAATAAAAATCCCTATAAATTTGTTTCTAAAGGAAAAGACTTTTTTCATTATGACCCCTTGACAGCAGGGAGAGTTATCATCAAATCTGAAATACGTATTATATAAAATAAGTATCTGCTATGTGCTTCTGAGTTTCTTCATTCATAATGCTTGTTTCTGAAATGATGACATCAAAATATTCCCACCCAAGCTTTTAACTTTGTTTTATATTTGAAACTAACATGTTTAGATACAGTTCACTTTGACTATCACCTAGGAATCTAAATCGACAGTTGTTCATAAACAACTGTATTGTTACATGACCACACAGCATAGCAAGCAACCTTCACCCCACTGCAAGGCTCTGTCAGTTATGTTTCCACTTGTCTCAGTTCAACAAACACCAGAGGGACTTGCATCTGCTGGAAACTTATTAATGTTTTACAAGAGTAGAGTGACAGAGTCTTTAGCAGAACTTTCATCTGCAGCAGAAACGGATGGAATAATTACAATAAATAAGCAAATTTCAAAGAGCCAGAATCATGGAATGGTTTGGATTGGAAGGGACCTTCAGGACCATCAAGTTCCGACCCCCTCACCATGGGCAGGGACACCTCCCACCAGCCCAGGTTGCTCCAAGCCCCATCCTACCTGCCCTTCAACACTGCCAGGGATGGGGCAGCCACAGCTTCTCTGGGCAACCTGGGCCTGTGTCTCACCACCCTCTCAAGAAAAAATTTCCTCCTAGTGTCTAACCTAAATCTCCCCTCTTTCAACTTGAAATCATTCCCCTTCATCTTGTCCTTCCCTGCCCTTGTCCAAAGTCCCATCCATCTTTCCTTGAACCCTTTCAGGCACTGGAAGGTGCTCTAAGGTCTCCCTGGAACCTTCTCTTCTCCAGGCTGAACACCCCAACTCTCCTAGCCTGTCTCCAGAGCAGAGCTGCTCCAGCCCCCTGATCATCTCCATGGCCTCCTCTGGACTTGTTGCAACAGAACTGAATCCTTATTTCATACTAAAAAATCTTAAACTGAGCAGCTGTTGTGCCTAAACTGAATGTCACCACCTTTCAGAATAATAGATTTTTAGTTCCATACTGAAGTGTGGTTTTATTCCTGAAGCATCAATGTTACCTCATGCACAAATTAAATGTTTATTGCAGGCTCTTCCTCCAAGCCTTCCTTGGCTTACAGAACCACAAAAAAACCCTAAAAGCTTAGAACTTTTATAATTATAAGGGCACCTTAAACAGGTTTTACCTTTTGAGAAGTCTCAAGCTGCAGTTCCAGGTCATGAGCTTTCTGACGCAGCATCTCCAAATGTGTATTTTGCTCTTCCAGACGGTTTTGAAACAAGGACATCTGCTGCTGAGCTTCTAATACTTCATTTTTCTCAGAGTTTTTATTCCTCAGCATCTCATTAACCTGAACAAACAAGGGTATTTAGTCAGAAGAAAGCTTGTATCAGAGTAACTCAGACATAAGAGTCACTCTGCATAAAATATAATGTATTCTTTTACTGTATATTTACCCTCAGTCTTTCATTCTCAATGAATAACAATCTCCCTAAAAAGTCAGGCAACATTGGTCATGTTTTAGATACTATTACTCACTGTAAAGATTAAACGTTAGATAATTCAACTCTATGAAGCCCCTACAACAAAGCAGGACTTCCAATGGAATGGACATACTGGTGGTAGTCTTAGCAGTGCTGGGTTAATGGTTGGACTTGATCTTAAACGACTTTTCCAACCAAAAAGATTCTATGATCCTATGATTCTGCTAAGAGGATAATGAACAAAACCAGTCTTTGAAAACGATTTACAGCTCAATACCACTACAGTATTTTTCTCTCCATCTCCCTCCAAATGAAAACATTTCCCCCTATGGGGGTAAAATAAAACATGGTTTATTCATTTTTAAAACCTTTTCCTAAAGACTTTGCTAAAACTAAGAAGATAACATTTAAGAAAGGATTAGTAATTTATTATCTACATTGCCATGCTTCCACAAAGAATTTACATCATATTCCTAGTCTTGTTTAGAACTTGCCCAAAGTGCTATTTAGAGGCTTTATTGTTTCTTACAATGCCTTTTGGAACAAATCCCAAGAATCATCCCTCAAGTAATTGTCACCGTTACCCCATATTTTGTCAACACTAGTCAGAATTGTACACAGAAAAGAGTATTTTTTCTTCTTTTCCCAATTTAGAATTTCATTTAGCACAGGATTCATTTTCCAGGGAATGAGCGACTCCTTCAAGATAACCCCCAGACTTCAGTGAGCCTCAGGTGTTTGGGTTTTTTAATTTTTTCAATTCCTATCCAGACATTCAAGACATTTATTCCCTCCCAGCCCAATGCCAACCTTGCAAACCTGCAATGGTAAATAAACAAATATTACAGTTTGGTACATGCTACAAGGCTCCCAAGACAACGAATATACAGGTGTTCAGAAAGAACACCCAATAGAACACTGAGCATGACCATAAAATAATAAGGTATTAAAAAAAATATCAAGTAAAGGAATGGCCACAGTATGTTTTACTGTCCAGGAATTGGATGCGTGATCAACTCGTTGCTCTGAAGCAGGCTCCTGTGTGTCACAGGGGCTGCTTCAACCACTTTCAGATTATTTTAAACCTCCTTCTTCCAGCCAAGTCACATTCTCTCAGTGTAGCATGTTTCTGTGTAACAGCTGAGCTGTTGGAGTTGCCCATGCACACATTCTGAGCTTTCCTTGGCAAAGGCAAGGAGAGCTGATCACATGTGAGCCCCTATCATTACAGTGATTGGTGTGTACAGATGCCAAACCACTAACCAGATTGGGTAAAATTCCCTAAAAAGGGCTAAATTAACAGACAAAAAAGTGGAATTACCTCCAAAGGTTACAAAAGCAAGTGCAAAATATAAGGATGTCTCCAGGATTTCTCCCTACCAACCAGAGAAAACTCAGCCTCTCCCTGAAATAATTTTGCCTGTGCATTGCAACCAGAACTACGAAGATCTATATGATAAGCTCAAGACATTTTTACATTCATATTCCAAACCTGTTCCTATTCCCTTTGTAAGGAAGCAAAAATGGGAGGAGATGCACACCTGATGTAACTGAAGCTGTAAATCCTGGATCTGACCAGCTGCACACACAGCCTCCTCCTGGAGGTCATCCCAATCCTTCTTCGCCTCTTGAAGGCAGCTTGTTAGTTTCCTGATGACTTCATTCTGCTCTTGAACAGTAGCTTCCTATGTGAATCACAAGAAGGGCAAAATATTCTTCACACATTAGGAAGTTTCCTCAAAGGAAAGCTGTTAGAGTCTTTAAAAGAACAAACTTGCACCAAAGGACCAGAAATGTTTGTGTCTGAACATGATGGCAGGCATGATGAAAGAGGAGTCTTACACTGACTGCAGAAAGTGGCTTTTTAAACCAACAATAGGATACCAGGAGTTAAATCAATACTCCAACATGTTGTAACTCTTGTAAAAATAATCAAGTTTTCTATAGGATATAATGAATATTTAGTACTCACTAAATTTGTTCCTGTCAGCTCTGCTTTCCAGCTATCTGAGAGAAAGCTCATAAGATACAATTATATTTCTGTTAACCACATTAACTTTTACAACTTATTTCTCACTGACAGGAAAGGTCTTTTTTTCCCCAGTCCAAGAAGGAGAAAAACAGCATGGAAAGAGAGAAGTAACTATTCTTCAGAAGGACCTGATAATTTTCCTTTACAGAGAAATGCTAGAGCAAGGGAACTCAAAATAGCACAAGTCCCATGTTTTTACATTGAGCCCCTAACTCAATGTATGATTAACTTGCCTTGGTGGTTCTTGCAGGTTCTCTAAAGGCCTATTCCTCAATATAATAAGAAAAATTATCAATAAAAACTAGTATATATCCAACTATTTCTCAACAGAATAACTGAACTATGCATTTCATAAAAACTCTATAAATAGAAACACTTCAAGTTTAATTTTACTCTCACTTGATTCCAGCAATATGAAGTCCTAGACACTAGTAAATGGAAAACCTCAGAACTGCTTTTCATAGCACATATTAGCAAGGTAAAGTACTTTTCAATAAAAACCAACACTTGAGTTTTACCTCCTAAATATTTTTAGGATTAAAGTAGTATTGTCCCCATTAGCCAACTCTGCAGAACACACCTTAAGTTTCATAGAGTCACTGTGCTGTGTAAGTTGCTGCTGTAGCTGCTCCATCTGTGCAGTGAGTCTTCTGAGTGCTTCCTCTTTCTCCAGAAGTCTGTTCTCTAACTCAGCTACCCTTGCCTGACACATCTTGGCATCAAGCTCACTGCATTCTGCAGCAGAATGTATTCTAACTTTCTTCAGAAAAGAAACAAAAATATATTTATTCAACAAAATAATGTATCATTCCTACTTTGTGATTATTCTGAATATGAATTCAAGCTACAAATCCAGGCAAATTCTACTTTAAAAGTAACTCAACACTAGGAATTTGCATTTAATAGAAGCATAATATATTAAGTCCTTAATTCTCAAAAGTTTCAGATAAAAATTTTCCCTAGGTAACAATTTTCATATAATACTTTAAGGCACTATGGTAAGTTAGGGAGAAGAACCTTGTGATTCTATAGCACCCAACTGTGGCAAAGTGCCAGTCTGACACGTGTTGGAATTTAAAACACGTTCCAGCTTACAAGTGGGCAGGGGTGGCATACTACCAAAATTAAACAAAGATTTTTCCATACATCTGTGGTGACTGGAGAACAGTCCATCCACAGGAAAAAGAACACTGTAACATTCTTGATTTAACATTAAACTCAAGTGCAAACAGCTATTGCAAATAAGTATTCAACACACTCTGAGTTTCTATGTCCATTAGCAGCAAAACACAAATACAAGTACAAAGGGAGAACCTGCTCCAATGAACCCTGTGGTTTCCACTATCATGTATTTTATTTTAAATACTTTCTGGTTTTAGTGTATGAAACAATTAAAGAACTAACCTACTTTTCAATTAAAAACATCATTCAAATTTCACTGGGCAAGGTTCATGATTTCACTGAAAGTACTTCTCTAAGCAACCAATTTCACAAGTACACACAGATAAATATCTGTTTTGGACTGTAAAACAGTGAGATGACACCACTTTTATCACATTTTTTAACAAATCTCAAGAACTACTCATTTTAGTAACTAATTATACCCTTCTTGCACATATAGCCCATCATCTTCACTAATGATATATTCCATTTCACTTACTTCAGCCAGAGGCTCATTCTGTACATCCCAGCTGGACAAGGCAGCACTCTCCTGGTAAGTAACCAAATAAAACAAACACTACATTGTGGCTATTTCAAAGGTATGTAAGGAAAAGCTGAATTATTTTGTAAGCACCTTAAGCACATGAGCCAGGAATGCTCATGTTGTGCAACTGAGATTGACTTGATGCTAAACTCAGCTAAGCTTGACCATCCATGGCCAAATGAATGAAATAAATGCAATAAATAAAACCATTCAGACAATTACAAATTTTCTCACCTCATGCAGTTTAATATCTTGACAGATATTGGCCTCTCACTAAATTCACAAGACAAAGATGACTGCAGCACTACCTACAAAAGGCAGCCTATAAATCTCCCCATATATTGAAGCTGCATAAAGTGGTTTCTAGTGGCTACTGGTGCCCTCTCCATGTAACCTAGAAAGCAATTCCATTTGCTTCACAAACCAACGATTTTCACAGAAGCTGCTTCGGAGTACCAAGTGATTTTTGTTTGTTAACTGAAATTTACGTGTATACAATAAGGATCCTGCTGATGATGGTATGGCTAAGTGACAAAACACTGCATGTTTTTTTTCTTAGTGCAGACAGCACGAAGACACAGACTCATAAAAGCCTTTGCAATGCTAACATCACCTTCAGGATATCCTGAATACACCAGGGATACCCTCACAACAGAAAAGAGGATAATATACGCAGATTATATCCACCGTTCTTTCAGGCTGGCAAAGACACTGGCTTGATGCTATTCTTCAGTGTTGTGAAAACACATCAACAGCTGGAGAGATGCTTTTTATGCAGGCACCAACTCTCCAAAACTCACGAATCTCTGCATAAACAACACACCAAAATGCACTGGGAAACTGCTTCCTAAACACAACTCCCAGACTAAGACAGATATATTTTGTCACAGCCACAGAGTTGCCTTGTAGCTTCTGAGGCTTGTGAAAGCATTAGCCAACCAATTCTGAAGCAAATTGGATTCCTATTAAAAAAAACCAACCCTGTTCAAAACTACCTTTTGCTTATTTTTAATATGAGAAAAAAGAGAGAGAAAGAAAGCATGACTGCTTAATCCACAGCTGATATAAAAGTCTTGCTCATGTGCTGAAGCAAGAAAGCAACTGCTTAATTCAGGCAGAGCAGTACATCTATTAGCAGATGTCTGTTAACTTGAAGCTGTATCAGAAGCTATGTTTCTCTGTGTACTGACATGACTAGAGGGCTATCTCTAGGTCATCAGTACAAACATGCTGACAGAGATCAGGCACAAGCTGAGTCACATTTTAAACAAATTTGTCAGAGAATGTAGTATCTCTGCTGGCTTTACAATGGCTACCAAGAGCATGCTGGAACAAAGCACAGGTTTTCAGAAAACATTAAACATATTTGAGCCAGCAAAGTGATATAAAACCAAATTAATAGTGTGCATTATAAAGTCCTGTCAGTTTTGTTCATGCCTCTCAGTCTGGATTTGCCATTTGATGGAGTCACAGCCAGACAACCAGAAGCCTGCCCAAAGAGAAGTCCATGGCAGTGACAGACCTCAACTAGCAGACTAACTGCAGACACCTCCTTGACCACACCAGCTGCCCACTTCACTCCATATAATGGAGATGTTTGGTTGAGGTTTGATTAGGAAAAACCCTCCAGTTTTGTTCAGTTATTTACACACCTTTGCAAAAGAATTACAAGTGACACTACTTCAGTACACTTCTCATTGGCAGCTTGTTGACAGTGCCAGAACCGATACCCAATGAATCACCTGGAATACTCGTTATCTGCAGACAGAGTGAGAAACACTCCGGAAATACTAAGATTTACCTCCATCTCCGTTGCTGTCTCCAGTAGGGTGGCATCTTCAGCCTTACTCTCTACACCTTGACCAACATCTTGGGCCGCTGGTGCGTGCTCTTCCTGCGGAAGGTCATGCGTGTGGACAGACGAGCCCTTCCTCTTCGCCGTCTTTTTCTGCGACTGCGAGAGGTCACTTTTGGCTTTTCGTTGTCTGAAGTGAGCAAACTGTGCAGGAAAGATTGGAAGAGGCAGAGGGAGAGGTAAGTGAGAAAAAGGTAGCACAGTATTAACACGGTCATGGGTGACGAAGGTCCTGTCTTGATAAAATATGTACATCTGCAGAAAAACTGCTTGATCCTCCTACTTCCTGCACATTCAGAACATGCTGGATAACTGTGCCACTCAGCAAGAAACCTCACCCCAGTACTAAAGTCTCATTTCAAGGCAAGAATCAGATTTTACTCAGTGAAACTTTGTGTGTCAATGACAATCCAGAATTACAGCAAGACAGATTAGTTAAGGAATGGGTTATTAATATGCTAAAATAATTAGTGAAAAATAATAATTGAACAATTTTCCTGCAAGAACAGAAAAAAACCCAAACAAAACTATCACTCCCTAGAAATGTATCTAAACAGATCTTGGCCAGCATAAGCTTTTAAGATTAAAATTAACGGAAGTGAATCCTCATGCTCCCTCCCTGCCACCCCCTTTAGAAAATATAGCAAAACTTCCTAGCCAGAAAGCAGCCTACAGGACATAAATAGAAAATCAATTAAGCCAGGTCATTTTAATTTCTTTTGTTGGAGAATCAGATGCTCTACTTTATCAGAGCATCACAGCTCTATGAAGCACCAGGGACTTGCAAAGAATGTCACTGACAGAATGTATTACCCAAGTTTCCTTAGCACCTTAAACAGCTTACAAAGGATTATTGTATTTTCAACTCTAGTATTGCATTTAGGCAGCATTTCCAAGTAACATCACCCTCACAGCATAAATGCAGGCATCCTCTCATAAGGAAAAAGCCTTCTCCACAGTTACAACCACAGGTTATCAAGTGCACTGTTAACATACCCTTGAGATGAGATAAAACAGTCAAACGATGACAGGATGTAAACATAATTGTCAAGTTCTACCTGCAATATTTATGAGAATCCACTGCTTGTCAGCTTGTTTTTCCTGTAAAACAGTCACCTTAGAGAAAAATCTTGTTTCTTTCTCTTCATTCAACTTGTGAAATGGATGTAGTTCATTCTTTTCTCCATTACACTGGTACCACTATAGTAATTTCTACCTAGCAGCTTAGCTACTGAACAGATCCACAGTGACATCTGCTACCCTGAGCAGCTGGTTTAAAAGGTATGTTTCCAGAAAGACACCAGTTTCTTATCAGCAGGTAATATGTTTTTATACAAATAGCTTATATTTAAGATTATGTTCTCTAGCTATTAATACCAAATGCAGATCAAGCCAAGATTGCCAATTGCTGTGTTGTCTTTGATAACTAAAATAAAGAGACCAGTAAATAAAGCTGCAGTGAGAGACAAATGCTATTATCTGAGATCAGGTTTTAAAAGCAGCACTTACTGATAGTAATATATGTAAAAAAAAATAAAATAAAAGCTACTGCACTAATTAACCTGATAACATGGGGAAAAGGAACAGCAGGAAGCCTACAGAAAAAAATTGAGAGTACACGAAGCTGCTGAAGCAGGAAAAAAGTAAAACAGGAGTAAAACAATCAGCAAAGATGTGAAATGAAAAAGCGAAGAGAGTGGGCATCATAGAGAGCAGTTAATGAGTTCATTAAGGGAGACCAAGTATTTGACAAGAAAACATCAAAAGTTGGCCTGACTGAACATCGAAACGAGTGTGAATTTTTAAATGCAAAGCTCAGAAAAACAAAACTTATTTTTGCCCCATTAATATTCATTAAACATAGGAAATTACAATACATATCAGGCAAAAATATGTATCATCCAACTCCTCCAAAATTTTACAGAACTACTGGACTTATGATCTGTCAAAGTGTCCAGGATTAAACACTCTACAGATTTATGGAATCACTGGATGGGGAAAAGTGCTAGCTGGGGTAGTATCAGGTTTCAAAAGCCTCTAATTAGCTACAAGAATGTAAGTGTCCTTTTAAGAGTATCATAAGATACATAGACAGACATGTAACATGAAGCAGTGTGAGTGCATATGAAGAAGGCACAAAACTCTGATTCTCCCCCAAGCCAGTGATGTCCCATTGAGGGCCCAATTCTCAGTTTGCATTCTAGCAGCACGTGCAAAGGCAAAAGCTCCACTTTTAGCTGAGACATGGAATGCCACAGGAACACCAACAGGACTATCCAGCTCAGCATACAAAGCAGCTATCCACACAGAAGAACACATGGGCTTTCTGCAGGCACCAATATACTGCAACTTCATTTCACCAGGTGCAGCCAGTTACAAGTGACATCCCCAAGGCACCTCCAGATCAGCAGGGCCAGCACCACGTGAGCACTGCAGAACAACAAGCCTGCCACATGTTGGTTGTGTGGTCCCCATATCACCTCATCCTCAATTAACTGCTGTGCTGACACCTTTGCACTACATCACTGCAACCCAACTGGCACCAGTAGCATGAGCCAGCAGACAGGACACACAGGACAGCACACACAGCACTGTTCAGCCCTGCCCAGCCTTCCTCTCAAGTCATTTGCTCCTTGACTTACTACTTTACGTGCTGCAGAAAATAGGACCAATCACAGAATCATTAAGATTGGAAAAGACCTCTAAGGTCATCAAATCCAGCTGTCAACCTAACACCACCATGCCAACTAAACCATATCCCAAAAGTGCCACATCCACATCTGTTTTCAGCACCTCCAGGGCTGGTGACTCCACCACTTCCCAGGGCAGCCTGTTCCAGTGCTTGAACACT